ACCACCCCCACCTCGCTCACAGGGCACCCAGTGCAGCTGTGTACTCGTGGCCCCCCAAGGCTCCCACTTACCCCCGACCTCCTGCTCTCTGACCTGTGCCGACAACTTCCAGGACTCGTGTGGCGGGAAGGCCTCCTTCTCTGTCTACAGCAAACGTGAGCAGAGAAACTCTTTGAGGACGCACTAGACACATATACTAGGGCTGGGCAATGACTCGCTTCAGCAAAATCCGGATAATATGTTAGTGCACCTCTTCGGCAAAAAATATGATATGAACCGCTTCGTCAATTGGGTTAGAACCACATCGACAAACGGGTTAGCATCACTTCAAAAAATGGGTGCACCCACTTCGGCAAACGGGTCCGGAAAGAGAGTAAAGAGTCTGAATGAGGATAATGTTTCATTGAGAATGATCCGGTTATCCTTATATTTATCCTTATTTTGCCCACATCTAACATATACGGTAGCTTTTAATAACGAGCAGGGCTAACCCAGATTTCAAGGGTTTCCAGAAATCTTGACCTACACAAAAAGTGGGCATTGTCCTACCGACAGGAACAGTTTGGTTTCAGAGGTGGGCGTAGTTGTTTGGTTATAGAGAAAACTCTCCTTGTCTTTTAAAGAAACTGAACAAGGGGCAGAAACTTTTTCTTCGATATTCTCAAAACAGCATTTTTCGGGATAGCCCCCTTGTGCCCCACATTAATACCACGTTGTTGCACATTTCCAACTGTAACCCACAATCCAGAAACTCAAATTTGCGTATTCCATAGTTTGTATGTTGTTGCTTGCCATTTCTCCCTTCACCAATGACCCTGTGATTTTCTCCCTTCACCAATAACCCTGTGATTTTCTCCCTTCACCAATGACCCTGTGATTTTCTCCTTTCACCAATGACGCTGTGATTTTCTCCTTTCACCAATAACTCTGTTGCTTTTTCCCCACCCCCCAGAGACACTAATCTATTTCTTTCTCCATTCACCAAAGACGCTATTTCTTTTTCCCTTTACCAATGACCCTGTTTCTGTCTGCCCTCTCCAAAGACCCTGTTTCTTTCTCCCTTCACCCACAGAGACGCTCTATTTTTTCCCTTTCACCAAAGACCCTGTTCCTTTTCCCCTTCACCAAAGACCCTGTTTCTTTTCCCCTTCACCAAAGACCCTGTTCCTTTTCCCCTTCACCAAAGACCCTGTTCCTTTTCCCCTTCACCAAAGACTCTGTTTCTTTTCCTCTTCACCAAAGATCCTGTATCATTTCCCTTTCACCAAAGACTCTATTTTTTTCCTCTTCACCAAAGACCCTGTATCATTTCCCTTTCACCAAAGACTCTATTTTTTTACTCTTCACCAAAGACCCTGTATCATTTCCCTTTCACCAAAGACTCTATTTTTTTCCTCTTCACCAAAGACCCTGTATCATTTCCCTTTCACCAAAGACCCTGTATCATTTCCTCTTCACCAAAGACCCTGTATCATCTCCCTTTCACCAAAGACTCTACTTCTTGTCCCCTTCACCAAAGACCCTGTATCTTTTCCCCACCCCCAGAGACGCTCTATTTTTTCCCCTTCACCAAAGACCCTGTATCATCTCCCTTTCACCAAAGACTCTACTTCTTGTCCCCTTCACCAAAGACCCTGTATCTTTTCCCCACCTCCAAAGACTCTATTTCTTGTCCCCTTCACCAAAGACCCTGTATCATTTCCCTTTCACCAAAGACTCTACTTCTTGTCCCCTTCATCAAAGACCCTGTATCATTTCCCCTTCACCAAAGACCCTGTATCTTTTCCCCACCTCCAGAGACGCTGTATTTCAACTTGGAGACGAGTGCCCTGTCCAAAAACTACGGCTCTGCCTGCGGCTTCCTGCACAGAGACACCACCCTCTACTTCGACGTCACTCTCAGGTTTGGCGCGTGTGACGTCAGCACCAACGACTTCAAGAACTACATCTGTCAGGATTGTGAGTACCAAACACAAAAACTAACCTCCTCCCATCTCATCTCACCTCACTTCATATGACTTTGTAATGCAATTGCGAGCACCGTCCCTAAAACATTTACCAAAAACGAAAACTCACCCTTTTTTACCTCCTCTCACCTCCTCTCATTTCATCTCACCTCATATGATTTAATGCAGTTGCAAGTGCCTCAGCCTCTCCTCTCCTCTCATCTCTTACAGAGCTTCACCTCACCTAATCTCACCTCTCCTCACCTTATCTCCTCTCCCCTCACATCATCTCCTCTCATCTCCTCTCATATCTCATATTACCTCAACCTTTCCTCACCTCCTCTCACATCACCTCCCGTCACTCGTCTTCCCCCCCCCCCCTCACCTCCTCTAACATCACCCCTCTCCCCTCACCTCATCACTTCACCTCCCCTCAGCCCCATCTCCCACACCTCATCTCGTCATTTGTCACATCACCTCCCCTCACCTCACCTCATCACACCTCAACCTTCCCTCACCTCCTCTCACAACACCTTCCCTAACCTCACCCCCTCACCTTACCTCATCACATCTCAACCTTCCCTCACCTCCTCTCACATCACCTTCCCTAACCTCACCCCTCACCTCACCTCATCACATCTCAACCTCCCCTCACCTCATCCCCTTATCTCATCTCATCTCTCACCTCACCTCATCTCTCACCTCATCCCCACCCCTCACCTCACTTCACCCTCCCCCTCAACCCCCTCCCCTCATCTCTCAACTCCCATCCCCCCCCCCCCCCACCTCATCTCCTCACCTCATCTCCTCTCACCTCATCTCTCCCATTACCAGGCAAACTCCCATCCTTCGGAGTCCCCTGCACCGCCATCAAGTCTAACGTGGTCCGTACATGGGACGCGGCCTCTGTGTCCTGTCTACTGGCACAACAAACACTGGCTTCTTCCTTCGGCGTCAACTTGGCTACTGTCTTCAACGTCAGTGCCGTGGGCAGGGAGTCTTACTGGATCGGTCTGACAGCCGAGGAGAAATATCAGTCGGTGGATGGTAGGTGGAAGGACTGACTGGAGGTATAGAGGAGAGGGAGAGGGAGGGAGTAGAGGAATAGAGCAGAGGGGGAGGGGGTGACAGAGTGGAGGAATAGAGGAGAGGGAGAGGGAGAGGGGAGAGACAGAGTGGAGGAATAGAGCAGAGGGGGAGGGGGGCAGAGTGGAGGAATAGAGGAGAGTGGAGGAATAGAGGGGAGGGAGAGAGAGGAGGAATAGAGGAGAGGGAGAGTGAGTGTGGGGGAATAGAGGAAGCGAGGGAGGGAGAGGAGTGTAGAGAAATATCATTGTGTGGATGGTAGCTGGAATGACAGACTGGGGGAATAGAGTAGGGGATGGGGAGAGAGAGAGAGAGAGAGAGTGAGACAGACAGACAGACAGATAGGCAGACCGGCAGACAGACAGACAGACAGACAGAGACGTTTCGCAAAACACTTACAAACACACACACACACACACACACACACACACACACACGCACACACACACACACACACACACACACACACAAGAAAAGAAAAAGGAAACCGTCTCAAACCACTTTCTATTTCCCAGGAAGTGACCTGAACGCAGCCGACTGGAACTTGCCTACCACGCCGCCAGCAGGGAAGTGTCTCGCTGTCTCCAAGGACGCGGCTGGCGTGATGTCACTTCAACTGGAGGATTGTGCAACATCTTTGCCCTCGCTCTGCGAACCTTGTAAGCCCCGTTGTTTTTTTTCAATTTGCTTTTATTTCGCTCGTTTTTTGTGGTTTGGGG